CGTTTCTTTCAAATTTACAATTATTGAACTGCACGAAAAAGCGCGAGCGTCCCAAGCGTCTTTTTACCCAAAGACTCCTTTCTCTTAAGTTAATGCTTTGGGTATGGTATAATTTCCTCCAAAAGAGTAACCAAAACGATAGGTTAGTACACATATGATTTAAGCAGACACCAAAAATCAGTAGAAAAAAATAAATATTGTGTGAAGGACGTTTATAGGGAATAGGGTTAAATTAGATGGTTATATACAGTAGGTGAGCTAACTCATTAAATGTCAACCTCAATTCTGAAATGCGTTTTCGACTTGAAAAATATAAAATTAAGTAAGGTTGTAAAAGTAATCATCTTGTAGCATAATTCTATATTAATTCAGTTACTGCAGGATTCCGGCTTTCGAACGAACGTCTTTCCGTCTGCATGCAAAAACTACACCCTATAAAAATTACTACTTAGTTAGTATGCATTTTTCTTACTGATTTTCGATGATCTTAAAAATGAAAATATATTTCATGGAAAACATAGACAAAAATATTCATTCTTCTGCTCATTTGGTAGAAAATGACGTTTTCTTTCAATTTTATACTCAAAGGAACGCTACAACTAGTTTTTAAAAAAGTTTCTAGTTGCGAGATTTTTAAATACCCTGGAATGGTCGTTCATAAAATGTCATGTCTCTGAATTTGCCAATGTGGCTTTTAAAGTTTTCTATATGGCTCAAATCCACCGCCAAATTTTACTGACCCCATATTGTCTCCTCTTACTACCGTAGAGAGATTTATGGTCTTTTGTACGCGGGAAATATACGGCTTGTAGTTTGGCAACCCTGTATGCAAGGGTAACGGCAGGTGGAGTTCAAAATTATTCGGGAATTATAAAAGTTTTTGGAAACCAAATTATACCGTTCCTTCGAGTAAAAAATTCAAAAAACGTTATTTTCTAACGAATGAGCAGAAGAATGAATATTTCTATTTACGTTTTTCTTAAAATATAATTGCGTTTTTAAGGGCATCGAGAATCAATGAGAAAAATCCATACTAATTCAGTAGTAATTTTTACGGAGTGTAGTTTTCGCATGCAGACGGAAAAAAGTTTGTTCGAAAGCCGGTATCCTGCGGTAACTGAATTATTATAGAATTTTGTTACATGATCATTAGTTAAACAACCCTACTTAATTGGTTTTTTCAAGTCAAAAACGCATTTCAGAATTTTGGTTGACATTTCATAAGTTAGCCCACCTACCGTACGTGTGCAAAAAAGCCGTCATCCTACTCCAGATATATCAGACTGAGATTGCAAAAAGTTACAGGAGAAATATCCAGTGATTGGAAGCATTTATGAACTTCCAGTCAAGATTTTGCAAGATGCGACTCAAACTGTGTGTTTTGAATAAAGGCAAGCATAAATTCAACGGCCAATTATATGCTGAGGCCTGAACTGGACGTCAGTAAAAAAAGTACTGAAAGTCCAACGAAGTGCAGCCGACAAGGTATTGGATCCAGCGCTTTAACCAACACGATAATGGAACTTGAACCAACTAACTACAACTGCAATTGCGGTTTCAGCGCTTGAGTATCCACGTAGGCTTTGCGGCTATTAAGTACACTGCCGGGCCCTTCTTTCGAAATGTTAACCTAAATTATGAGATACATTTTCGATTTTAAAAAATTCTAATGTGAGAGCGCAGTATTGATTGTCAGGCCCAATCCGAAAATATTCCAGGAACTCCATGATAGCGGTTTCTGAGTAAGCATATTTTCGGCTGTCTGCAAAAGCCACAGTCTAAAAATGATTTCTTGTGCAGTATGAATTTTTTCATATTTTCGATGTCCTGAAGAATTTGGATATACTTTGTAGAAATCTAGCACAACAGTATTCTTTTTTTGTACTTCTTTAATGGCAGATTACGTCTTCTTTATATGCTATGCTTAGAAAAAGTGTATTTTTGGTTTTAAATTTTTTGCCTATAAGATTCTTAGGTCGCGTAATGTCTATTTATACAGTATCGTTTCTGTCCGTTTATTAATGTTACTTGTGGTGCACGCAACCTTGTCAGAACCCATTGCAAGGTTCTGTAGAACTCTAACGACGTCCTCTTAGTAGCGTTGAGGAGTCCATGATTTCCCAAGTACAGAAAAAACCGAACATGCGATTTCAAACTTCGAAGTGAGAGTGTAACTGCAGGTCAAGTTTAAAATTACTCAGGGAATGAAATGTTTTCACGTCTGTTCAGTCACAAAACTTTGAATGGACATAATATGCTGCCAAGTAAGTACAGCAAGGAATGCTCTTGCGCAGTGTTTACGACGGAAGTGTGCGCAGTCGGCTATGCTAATTAAAAGTGACCGGAAACTAGTTAGAGTGATTGGGAGTTTTGGAATGATGATGAGTGCATACGCTGAGTCATAAGCATAACGCACCGACGCCACCGGAAATGAGACCCGCTAAGTGCACGTGATTTCTACCTATTTGTTGAATCTGGTGAAAAAATACCGTAGCAGAGAAAAGGGTAATCGACCCAGAAGCTACCAGGGTCATACCAGGATATTATTGCTACTGGCTTCATGCAACAGAAATACCACGTCCGTTAGTTGAAGGCTTTCGCACTACAGCTTTTCCAACGCGATAGATTTATCGACTTTGCCTATAGGTGAAACGTAACAGAGTCATCCAAATTTTCGGCTGTCTTAATTTAAACCGAAAACGCACCGGGTGACTGTTTGGCCTCAATTTCGACGAATTCTTATTGATAATAGGTCCCATGTGAACTCGACAGAAGTAAGGTGCGCAAAATGAGTATTTGCAGTGATCAGACGGCGGATATCACCTAAAATGTGATGATTCTGTCTTGTAACGTCCTGGTCCAGCATTCGGTACCTCAGGTGGCGGTGGTTCAGCACAGACCCAAGGCTAGACATCATTAATTTCGAAACACGAAGGCAGAACTGCATTGAAAACGTCATACGGAAGCCCCAACACATTTTCAATTGACAAACTTGTCGTTGCTTTAGAGTTGACCATTGATTCTAGAGCTGTTATCATCGTCTATTGAAATGTTTATACGGAGGTTGCCTGTAAGAAATTCCCCTACATAAGATAGGATGCGTTCAAAAAACTTTAGGAGCTAGGATAACAAGGTATTAGTTTTAAAACAGATACCATGGAGTGAAACCGGTCCTGAAAAAAATAGCAAGGGGTTAAACTGAGGCGACAGAATGGAAGTATACACTTTTTAATCTGCTTTCCTAAGCAAGCGCTGAGGTTTTCAGTCCAAAAATTCGATTTGTTGATTTGGATTGACCTCAACAAGACGCAGAGAGTGATGGAGTAAAAAATCGTGGCGAAAAGTCTTAGACTACAAAAAACAAAGCACACAACTAACATTTGTGCGTTGGTTTATATAACTGACATCAAACTTTATCATTCACTTTGATTCTTGCACTCACTTTGGTCAAGATGGAAATGGGTTGTAGTAGAGTGTCCCTGAGATTAGACTACACTCTGTGACGTTCAAGATTTTGCCAAAAATCTTCAGAGAAAAGTGCCCATCCGAGGGAAATCCATCGAAAGCAAGACAAAATAAACAGCACTAAAATGCGCGTGCTAAACGTAGTCGGATTTTGCAACACAAGTGAAGAGCAATTACTAACTTTCCTCTTACTGCTCCGTGGCACAAAATCCTGGAAGAATGCACAGGAAGTTAATTCACAGGTCCAAAAAATTTTGATCCCGACACTAACTTGCGTGATAAAATACTCTACAAAATGTTTCCTCTAAAAAGGACGCGAGATGGGTAAAAACATTAATGAACGGGAAGACGCCTGAGTCTTATAATTCGCAATAGGTCATCATCACCTTAACATGCGGAATAATTCCGCCGACGCTATTTTTTAAATTAAAAAGTTCTACCGCACATTCTTCTTATTAATTCGCAAAAATCTGTGGCTTTTTTCAACGTTGTAAGGGACCGTTTAATTTGCAGCTGGCTTCAAGTTTCGCATATGCATTTAAGGACCTTATTTCTGACTGTCATCAACGGTCTTTCACATTCCCAGCACCGTCGAACTTTCAGGATTTTTTTCATTTAGATCTTTTTGATGGTGCTAAGCCCAGGCATTGTTCTGCTAAAGCATTAAGAACGGAAAAACCCTTACTCGTGCATCAAAACACAGAAATAAAGCGCCAGATGAGGCGGATAAGTTTTCTGGATAAATTTTTGAAGGCGAACGTGAGTGCCAATCGATTCTCTCCCGAATTGATAAGCATTTCCCTTTATTTTGCCTTGATGCATCGCGCCCATGATGTTTTCAGACTACTTGGCTGCAAAACTCCTTATTGTGTTATTTTATCATACTGCTTTTCTGATGTCTACACACTTTTATATGGCGAAAGCGACAATGGTCGAACAAAAAATCCCTTTTTCCTTAATTAAGTTACTGGTTAATATAAAAACTCTGTAGGCGTAGGCAGATATGATATAAGAGTAAAATGGTTATTTAAGCACGTCCATGTGTTCTCTATAATAGCTAAATACAGCGGCAATTGCGTCAAGTCCTCTAGACTTTTCTTATGTGGCACATTTTTGAGAGAACTCGCAAATGTTCCGACGTTATTATATATCGACTGCACTGCAGTCCTTTAAGGTCTATCGAAACAGTTGCAAAACGCCAAGAAGTGAAATTTGTATGTTTACTTAAGAATATTTAAGGAAGCATCAATGGTCTTTACGGCGCATAACAGCATAATTGCATGATAAAATTCATCAAGGTACAACAAGCTTGCCTTTATCGATTAGAATTGACCATAAATAAACTTATTTCAAATGTAAACTAAAATAGGTTTGATAAAAAGCATACAAACGAAATCAGAATGAGGTAACACACGTTATTTTATGAACTCATGGCAAGTGTTGACACTGACAAGTTGGGAAAGACGTTGCGGGCGAAACAAATGGGAAGTGTGTCAGAAATCATTTAGAAAAGGGGATGATTACTTCCAACAGCCTCATTTCCATCGGCGTTGTAGATAATCTGGTACTTTCCTCGACGTTTTTCCCTTGTGCCCGCTACAAATCTTCGGCGATAAAAGTAAAAAACGCCCAAGGCAGCTAGAGATGCCATTGTGAGTGCCGCCATTACCAAGACGCTTATAGACAACCCCCTTTGTAAAGTCCCCTTTTTCGAGTAGTCAGTCCAAGCAGGATTGGGTTGGGAGATATTACGATGTGGCCGGACCTTAGCTAGAGAGACAATAAGAAAAAGATATAATCGGCGTTTTGACAAAAAAATGGGCGTGGAAACTAAAATTAGTCTGGGATATAGAACCTCAAAGTGATTTTTGAAGATCAGAAAATCAAAAATGTATTTCAAAAGACATCAGCCTTTCTACCTAGTTATTTAAATGGTCAAAACGCAGCGCAAGTTTGCTGGGTGAAATAAGTCTTTTTAAATATTTCTTTAAAATTTGTTAGTCACTCAAAAGCTTCGTATGCAAGAAAGAATAATTATGTGCGACGGTTAATAGAAATCCCAATGATTGATATTCACGCAAGCGTCATTTTTCCTGGCTTTTAAATACTTGTTCGGGCATGACTGAAGCAAGTTAAGAAAATTAAAAAAGAACATTTACTTCGACCCTTGATAAGTATTTCAATTGGCAGCATAATAATGTCATTAATAGCTTTGTAAGTTCAATTACCAATTGCAAGGTCCGCTAGGTTTCTCGATATTTCGTTTCTTCCAGTTAAATTTAGAAATGAATTTTCAGACGTTTTAATAACAGTTCAATGTCTATATTTTGTATAAAATTGTGATTAATGTGGATGACCAGAGTGGTGTTGAAACATTTTGTTATACAGGAAGCAGTCGAATCTTCAGTAGATGTTTCATGTAACCGCCAAAAATCTCTAAAAGCATGGCCTAAATTTTAGGTAATAGATAGACTGGGCAAAATGGCAGAACATTCTGGTTTACAAATCCGCAATGTTATATAAGCCAAATTCAACCTCAGAACTAATACAGAATTAGTGTATATGTCAGTTAAATTACAGCAGGAACATTCTAGTCCACAGTGAAGTCCTGTTTATTGTTAAGGGATTAAGCATTGATCAAACAAAGAGACGAAAGTAAAAATGGATTGCGTGGTCAATGAGACGCCTTGTGAGGTATTATGCATTATAAATAAATAAGGTCTAATCCAATAAAGATCAAACTACTTCATTCCCCACCAGGAATAAGAGAACCCGTTTGCCTCTGAGTATGGACAGTAGGGTATTAAAAACAAAATTCAATTTTTCAATGTAAAACCAGGTAAAAATAGCGTCAATTTTGTCCCTGCATTCCAGGGATGCTCGGACTATTATGAGTTCTCTTTAAAAAACTGACCACAAAAAGTGTCAACCAAGAAGATTTTAATATGATCATATTCCGCCTTGATTCATCCACGAGTAAATGATCGAGATTTCGTTTCTGATCCATTCTAGACAACCCAGTTTATGAAGAATTCGCTCCACACCTACCTCTTTATGCTTCATTTTAAGACAATTTTATTGCACAAAGGCCCGTTTGAGGGGTTTCCCTCACTTTTAAAAATAATATTTAAATAATTTGAGATTCCTCAACGTAGTACGCTAGACAAAAAGACACGTTATACTTGGATTTTGGCTGATTCTGAAGTGGCACCGATTCTAAGACTTCTAGTAACTAAAATTATCCGAATGCGAAAATTTTATAAATTAAATCTCAATGTCTGTGAGAATTTTGGGCGGTAAATACAAATACAAGAGTTCTAAATGTCGTCTTCCGCGGGAAAGCAACAGTATATTCTATATATTCAACGATAAGAGAGCAAAATCTGTCCGATATAGCGCAGAGCGACGTCATTAGGAAACAATGGAAATTCACCCAAATTTGGACGGGGCCTAGCCCCATCTAGCCCCGTCTGGCCCTCGGTGCCATGTGTTGGCAGGGTAGTTTGACAGTGGTTGTGCCGTACTGCACAATAAATGTTTTATGAGTAGACGGTCATTTCATGCGCGCTATTCTTGTGTCGCAGACACGCAGTGGTAGCCAAGGATGTAGTGTCCGTTCTTTTGCCAGAGATTGCAAACCAGGCTGATGTTTCTCACGAGTTAACTCATTGTTATTCACTAAAATACGATATCGACATATAGATTCCTGCTAACCCATCGCTCCGTCTCTGGCCGTGCCTAGGTCAAGGCTACATGGGGCTAGGCCCCATGCAGATTTATCTGCCGATATATGCACGCATATATATATACATATAGATTTAGCCCTAGCATCGTAGACAACAAGCTAATGATTGAAAAGAGCAGGTTATGGCATTCCAACTTCAAAATAAAAGCAATATGCGAATGAACAGATGAAATCTTACTTCTTTCAACGCTGTATAAACTGTACCATTTCGACCGAATAAAAGTACACACGTTCGTTTCTAAACAGTTGATAAGCTGACATTTTGCTGTCTGCAAATCATAAAACGATGTGATCCTACGAAGTTTTTGTACATAACTGTTGTACAATTTTTTGTAGAGCAGCATGCATCAATGCAATCTGAGATCGGCAACTTCGTCACTGATAAAGTAATAGCGCCCAATGCAAAACTTTTTCTGCTGATTTTTCCCCTTGGGTGTTTATGGGGTATGCAAACATCTGCGTTTAAGATTGTAAGCAGGTTTAAAATTACGAGTAAAATAGGAAGCGCTCGGGAAAGCATGACGCGCGCAGAAATATTTAAAATAATTACATCAGTCAAGGTTACTCGGCGGTGGAATAGATCAAGTTGTACAGGCTTGTCAGAACACGAAGGCAATTGATGCCTCTTTTAGAGGGTCACATTAGTTTAATATTCCAGTCAGCTGCATGGTATATAGTAAAAGCATGCTAGACAGTTGCGACATAGCGTGAACATATAGCATATGCAAATTCCACCCTATCTATACCTTTGCCCGATCACACAGTCCATTCGTATTGTCATCGTAAAACCTCCCTTGTCAGTGATCTACGTTTTTCGTTCTTTATTGTCCTAGATCGTCGTTCGCAAGTAAAGAATGTGTGAGAGAAACTCCGCTCGGTCATTTATGAAGAGCGTATATCAGAAGTCTGTCGTCGGAAGTACCGCAGTGGCTAGAGCCAGTAAATAAATAAATTGATTTTTGAGTGCCTTGGAAGTACTTACATAGCAAGCTAAAAAAGACTTTCAGACGAATTTTAGAACGATTAGACAGACTCTGTACCGTATTCAGTTCAAGCTTATAGAATTAGCAGTCCTATATTAAAAACCGTTAGTGAAAAGTGAAAATACTGCTTCTTTTGAAACATACAAAACGAATGTGGTTTGGTTAGCTTCTAAGAAGAAAAATTATCGTTTATGAAAGGGTTAATATACAGGTCGGACAGGACTGGTCCGCATCTGGTAGTGTATGGGGAATTCCAAACAGATTTCGTCGAGGCAGAATTCCCCAACCGAATGAGTCTGTCCGCATCAGTGGTGAAACGAGAGGAAACCAGTGGCGATATTTCACAATCCGTCTAGAGTCCAGCCGAGGAGGGGGCGTTAAAGGTTGAGGGGGCCATTAGGGCGTACGGGTAGATGCAACCATGAGACTTCTTGCCGACCGATTAAACTGCTAGTAGATGCCGTGGTCGACAACAGAACTCTTGTTGTCGAACCGCGGAGATGGAATCAATAACCGCAAAAATCTTCCTTGTAGGAAGGAGTAAAGGTAGTAGATTTAGTAGCAAACTGAAAACGGGGACTGTACAATTTGAGGTTAGTTTTCCTTTGAATATCAAATTTTGTATTACCTGCCATCAAATTCCAGAGACTCTTTTTAACATCCAGAAGTTGAGTGTTCGGGAACGAAACGGTTAAAAATGCCTTTATACATTCCAGTGTAAGGTGTTTGCGTAAGTTAAATTTGAGTACCAGTGACATAGGCGATGGCCTAATTTCTGGCGGTAGATTATTCCAAAGGAAGGCATATTTGGAACCAAAAAAGTGGGAGCGCTTAGAGGTAATGCAAAGAAGCGACGGAATCAACGTGGGGGAGTAACATGCAGCAGAAGACCTATCTCTCCGAGTGGGAGTGTCAATGAGCGGAAAATTGGAGACATAGATAATGCGAAAAGGGAATCAAAGGCCACCTTTGAGTCTTCTAACCCATAAAATTTAATTTTCGCCAGTTTACATCTCTGAGTATAAGAAATACGAAAGAATCTTGAGAGAACAGTTTCCGGCGTTCATTAAACCAAAGAAAGTACAGCGGTATTCGAGGACAGGAAAAACAAACATTTGATAAACTCTTAGCTTCATTACCGGAAGGAAAATATTTTGTGATATGAACCCGCTTAATTGTACGGCCCTGACAGAGATAATATCTGCATGGGGTGATAAAGCAAGCTAATTGCGTAACTGAATCCTAGATCCTTCACTGCGAAGCATTCTGAGAGTGAGTTATTCTGAAAAATTATGGGACCTGGAAGTTTGTCATCACAAAAGGAAATGAAACTACACTTGCATGATTAAAACTCCATCTAGCATGCTGAACTCCACCCGTTTAAGCGTAGTCAATCACCACCAATTTTTCAACACAAGCATTGGCGGTGTCCTTAGAATGCGAGTAAACACACTTGAGGTCATCGGTATAAATAAAAGTTTGCGACTTTCTGAGTTCAGTCAAAATACCGTTAATGTAAAGAAGGACCCAGAACCGTGCCTTGGATTACTCCACTCGTGACCGAGTGAGGTGTCTAGTAGCTATTACTGACAATGACTTTCTGATATCGGTTGCATAGATAGGACCTAATGAAGTTGAGTAGAGGCAGCCGGACGCCGATAGCTTCCAATTTTACCAAAAGACGTCTATGGGGTATCCTGTCGAGGGATTTGCTAAGATCAAAGCAGATATCTATCACTGACTGCTGTTCATTACGAAGAGAAGTGATTAGATGGCGAAATGCCAAGTGACAAGTTCCACACGATCATTCAGGAAAAAATCCATGCTGATTAGAGCTCGGGAGTCGATTAGCTAGGCAGAAGTCAAGAGTTTCATTGAAAATTATCCTTTCAAGAAGTTTTGCTAGAGACGGTGTTTTGTGGACGCCCAGATAGTTATTGACATCGGATCACGATCCAGACGTGAAGACAGGAATGATAATTGAAGTTTTCCATGTTTCAGGATAGACTTTTGAAATATAAGGCGAGAATAAATGACTAAGTAATATGGGAAGGTCGGGTGCCTGTTTGATAATAGATTCAGTCAGTCGGCGTATTTGAGGGAAATAGGCCTATGCTTTGACCTCCCAATTTGTACATAAAAAATCGAGAAAATAATCAAAGATATGAAGAAATTACAGCATTGAGGGGATGCAGACATCGATTCACATAGGTCCCTACTTTCTGGTTACAAGGTCACATAATCTGCTTGTTGCTGCAACATGCGTCTGTCAAGTCGACATTTAAATTTGTCCAAAGACTGAGATATAACAAACGCGTCGGGCAGGTTATTCACGGTTCCACGACACGGCTGGGGAAAAAATACCACCTCACATTCAATCTACTTTGGGGTACAAGTAGTTGGAAGGGATGTTTCCCGAGATTAGTTGTAGTGGCGAGTAGGAAAAAGTCGTCGCACTGGACGGCACAGTCCAAGCCAAGCACGATGCGGAAACTTTTTATTAATTGTCCACGCAACTGCCTATAACTCAGAGGATAGATACTAACACTAATTGGGCTAGCCTCGTATGGCATTGCATCTTAACCTCTTATTTATTTTGATGCTCGTCTCTGCACCCTTTCGCGCAGACTTTTATCCTGCTTCATCTGCGGTCTCCAGTCCAGAATTACATATCCCAGATGTGGCTGTTGGACAGTAAGTAGGCCATTCAGGAAACGAAAATAGCAGTATCCCAACAGTTACAAACTAGTAAATAAGAACAAAGACGTCAGCAGGTAAAAATGCACGTGCTTCTTCCATGCCTTATTCAGAGTTGTGTCATATTCTTTAAAGTCCGTATTATAACTCAGTAAAACAAAACTGGATTAAATGTCATTACAGTACTTCCCCTCATAGGTGAACGGGGTTTTAAAAAAATTATTGTTAATAGAAAGAAAAGGTGGGAGTGTTATGCATATTATACAAGTTCGTAACTGTTGGAAAAACGGACATTACGACCGCAGCGCGAAAGGCAGGAGCCCGTAAGTTAAGGGAAAACGCAGGGTTATTTGGCATAAGTGGAGTCTCTGAAATAGCAAGTGACAGTGTGCCGTGTGGAGATCGGTTGGAGATGTTGAAAGAGGTTCAGCATAAGCCGTCTTCAAGCGATCGACTGAGACCACGTCGGTGCGACTTCCAAGGGCAATTGTAAAATGCTTGTCTGTGCAAGATGGTACTTGCAATAGGCCGTCATATGGCTGCTGTAGTGACCGATGAACGTTATTTATGCGAACAAATGCAAAAGAACATGTTAGTAAGTTCCGGTCGATGTACGACTTACTTGTTAGAGCACGTGGAGGAGTGGCTCGAAGATAATTCATTGCTTGTCACAATCTTTGCATATAACCGCTTGGATCAAAGCCGGCTGACTTTTGAGAATACCCGAAAAATCGCAGGAAATCCGTAGAATAGTACAGTAGACAAGCTCGCAGCGGAACACTCCAAGTCAGGCTTGAGTGCAGTAGGGATGCCCAGCATGACCAAAGGCAGAGGCTCGCTCCTATGGGAAGGGCTGTCATGACCTCAGAGGGAGGCTTTGAGTTGCCGATGGCAGCACTCGACTAAGCCGTTGGATGAGGGGTCGTTTGCTGTCGTGCGTATACGAGAACATCCGAGGGGGTCGGTAAGGCAGTTAAAAGGTTTAAACTCGAATTGTTGGCCTCGATCTGTGGTATACTGAAAAATAAAATCGAAATAGCGGACCTCGTGGGATGAATATTTGCGAGAGGGCATAATTAATTAAGTAATTAATTAATCTCGGCTCTCAATATGATGACAAAAATGTTTAATGGCTAAATAAATTGAAAGAAGTCCTCTTTCAAAAGTGCTATAGCAAGTTGGTGTGCATGTCATTTTGGCAGAGAAAAGCCAAGCGTCGGGTGCCAATGGGCGTCTCTTGCCGAAGGGTAGTCCCTTTAGCGAAATTAGAGGCGTCGGCCACAATGGAAAGTGTGGCATCAGGTATAGGGTGGACAATGGCAGCTGTATCTGCAAGAGCCCTCCTGGCACGACTGAACGCCTCTACAGCTGTGTCAGGAAAAGAAAACTCGCGGTTGTTCCCAAGTAAAAGGTTCGAAACGGACATCACCAAGGCAGAATTCATATGCCAGATGAGACCATTCATGCCAAAGTGACGAATAGAAAAGCAGTCTCGAGGCGATAGGAAACCATATGCGAGCGGTTACAGTCAGCCGAGTCCAGCCGAAAAGGGTACAAGGGAGATGCGACCAAACTACTAGTATATGGCAAATATAGAGTGTTCCGCCAAGAGCGTCGATAGAGCGCATTCTGTGAGGGCACGATGCATGAACTGAAAAATCGAA